CCAACACTGTGCTCCTGACAGCTAGCAGTCAAATTGTATTTTCCAATGTCCTGCTGATCTTTGCTACAGCTCCACATCTGACTTGTGTCTGGCTTAGAGACCCTGACAGGAGCAGACCTTCTGGAGGGTCACTTTTACACTTTGCCGGTGTCATTAACTGGAGCTGTGGTTAATTTTTAATGGGACTGACAAGCGCACAAGCAAATTACATTGTTGGTGCTTGTGGGAGCTGCTGATAGCCAGTCACCTGTTACTTTATTTATTTCCAAAGTACTCTAAAGACACCGGAGTCAAGAAATGAGAGTCATTGTTATCTCCTCTCTCCTTGTCTAACTCGCAGGTGTGGTTCAGTCACTAGTTTACTCTGTTCAACATCCTAGACCATACTCCTGTCTGGGGGATTTGATCCTTCGGAATTAACCTCCACACACCTGTGAACTACCCACAGCTAAATGTACAGACCAAGCCTGAAGGTTTCACTCAGCCAGTGTAACACCAGCGAGCATAATCGCATCTGGGACGTTGGAGCTTAGTGCATGAACCTCTCCCACATGAGCTAAAACTCTACTGGCTTTCAGAGCAGACGCATTGATCTCCCTGGAAGTGGTCTCGGTGCCACAACGCGGGACAGTGCACCACACCCAGGAGGTGTGTGGGTTACACCAGCACACCGTGGGCTCCACTGGGACCTACACCTTGGTACATTTCAGTCCTTTCCTACTACAGGAAACCACCCCAGGGTTGGACTCCCTGGACGGGCCTCTGGGCTTAGAACCTTGGTAGTGTGCAAGCAGCTTACCCCGAAATAGGAGCTGTGCCCGTCGCTCCAGAGCACGGCCAGGTCCGCATTCTCAAACTCGCCCCTGTCCGACATCCCGAAGAGCAGCCCGAATTTCAGCTCCTTGGCCAAGAGCTGGAAATGCACCACCTGCTCCGGGTAGCTGACGTTCCACGAGAGCTCCAGAGAACTCTGGGGATCCAGGGGCACCTTGTAAGGGAAATAATTCTCCCGGGGAGCCGTCCCTTGCAGAGCCACCACCAGGATGACCAGGAAAACCATAACCATGGTGAAGTACATGGAGGCCACCTCCCGGAGCCGGAGACTTGGGCAGGGGGCTCGCCTGTTCCGGTCGGTCTGCATGCTGGGGAGAAAGGCGCGCACGCTCCCAGCTTTTGCCATTTATGTGTCGGCCCTCCTGGGCAAGCTGGGTAAGTAATACTCTTTAATTGCATTTGGTGGTTGGGAAATTGGATTGCTGTGTTGACCCCCCACCCCCACCTCCTGGCCAAACACTTGTCATTCTCTGCCTCACCCTAATTGGCTCTAATTGCACATGGACATTATCAATGGGAATTAAACCCGACTGGGCTGATTTTATTCTCTCCTAAATCATCTGGCGCGGTGGAAAAGGGCTGTTTACCTGCGAGCTGCTCTCCCTGAGTCCAGCACGGATCTCTCCCGCCTGCTTTTCCTCCTGCCCACAGCGGCAGCTTGCTCCCCTCACCCCTCTGCCAAGAAGGACACCCTACTGCACGCTTGGCCCCTAGCTTCCCACACAACTCTATGAGGGCCTGATCCTTCTGCCTCATCCCCTCAATTTACACAAGACCTTTGCACCAAGCATTAATATTGGGAGTGGTTCCTTTGCAACCCCCGCCCCCCTCTCTTGCTGGTTCTCCCATATCTGTAGGCAGGCCCCAAAGGCACCTGACATCCTCACATCTTCAGGGATCCACTTCCCAGCCTTGACGTGCCCAGCCGTGTGTAGAGGGGACGGGGAATGGAATATAATGAGAATGCCCCATGGTCACCCATCCCCCATCTGGGGAAGGGAGAGTGGAATCCCTCAGTGCTGTTTGCTGTTTGCCTGAGGAGACCCCTCATTGCCAGGGGCCATAGTCAGCGAGTGTGAATTTTCCGGCTGCTACACGCGTGGTGCCGGGCGTGCGTGTGCACACACACGTGTAACGTGGTTTCGATCTGCGCGTGCCGCCCACACAACTGTCTTTCAGCTCAACTGTGGGACCACTCGACACGGAGCCCCCTCCTAGAATAATAATGCTTAGGCCAGCCCATGCCCCTCCATTCCCCTCAGAGAGGCGGCATATGGGAGCGGAGCCTCGAAAGGGCTGCCTCAAAGAACACTCCTCTCGGCTGACTGGAGCAAAAAGCGAAGCCCGGAGAGTTGTTGATTTCACAGCCTGCTGCACTGGGTAGGCCGGGCTCTGGGGTCCCCTCTGCTGCCCTGAGGTGAGTCGGAGCATTGTTGCCCAACTGATTTTTTTCCTCCTCATTCTCCCCCATGGAACAGAGTTGTTCCCGCTAAGGCAGCGAGGCTGAGAGCAGCCGGGGTGCTGCAGGAGATGGGGCAGGTAAGTGGTGGCCTCAGAGAACTTCTCAGCCAAGGCCAAGTCATTTCCTCTGACGTTGCAGGACAGAGGTGCCTGTTGGAGCCGCAGCCCAGTGGATTCCTGCTAGTCTCTCCATCTTTGTCCGAGTGGAATCTGGAAGATCACAGGGGTTTTTGCTTGGCAACGAGGAACCTGTCAGTGAGCCAGTGTAGCCATTTTCATTCAGAAGTGACTGTAAAAAATGGGGAATTGCATATCCGGATGATCACACACATACACATGAGCGTGCATGTGCACTCTCCTGTGTGCCTGCTCGTGTGTATGTGGGTGATCATCTGGATATGCTTGTCTGTGCATGCCTGTGCTTGTGTGTGTGTGCGCCTCAGCATGAGTGTGAATATGTGTGTATATGCACCTCTGCATGAGTGTGAATATGTGTGCGCATGCACCTCTGTATGGGTGTGAGTGTGTGTGTGTATGTGTGTGCCTCTGTATGGTTGTGAATACATGTGTGCGCCCGCCTCTGTATGGATGTGAGTGTGTGTGTGTGTGTGTGTGCCTCTGTATGGTTGTGAATACATGTGTGCGCCCACTTCTGTATGGATGTGTGTGTGTGTGTGTGTGTGTGTGTGTGTGTGTGTGTGTGTGCGCGCGCCTCTGTATGGGTATGAATGTAGTGTGTGTGTGTGTGTGCCTCTGTATGGGTGTGAATGTGTGTGTGTGTGTGTGCACACGCCTCTGTATGGGTGTGAGTGTGTGTGTGTGCACACGCCTCTGTATGGGTGTGAGTGTGTGTGTGTGCACACGCCTCTGTATGGGTGTGAGTGTGTGTGTGTGCACACGCCTCTGTATGGGTGTGAATATGTGTGCGTGTGCACCTCTGAATATGTGTGCTCGTGCTCCTTTGTATGGTGTAAATATGTGTGAGTGCCTCTTTATAAGTGTGTGTGTGTGTGTGTGTGTGTGTGCATGCATGCCTCTATGGGTATGAATACATGTGTGTGCAGGCCTCTGTATAGATGCGAATGTGTGTGTACCTCTGAATGTGTGTGTGTGTGCGCGCGTGCCTCTGTATGAGTGTGTGTGTGTGTGTGCGCGTGTGCCTCTGTATGGGTGTGAATACATATGTGTGCGTGCATGCATGCATGTATTCTATCTCTAACCATTTCTGTAAGCCTATCACAGTGGGCCCAAATCTCTCCTCTGGAGATGGGTGACCTGCATCCTGTGGTGTGACTACTCCGACAAGCTCTGGGGCAGACCCCGGCTGCATGTCAGCGCTACCGCACAGCTGTCACTCTGATCCAGAGACCTGCTGCTGGGATGAAATGCTGACGCGGCACGAGAAAGCCCTCTCCTCTGCGGCTGCACTTTTTAATGCAGAGAGCCAAAACTCCTACCCATTCTGCACATTCGGAGCCCAGATCCAGAGAAGCACAACGCTCCTGCCTCTCCCCCCTCTGCGGTCCTCAAAGCCCAGAGCCCTGGTTCATTTTGCATCTCCGTTGTATCATGTTCCAAGCCCACGGCCTGGGCCTGCCTGTCTCATTAAATAACAACAAATACTCTGATGAGGTGCCAAGATAATTTCTAAAGGGCAACCCCATGTGGGATACATTTTAATAAGACGTTGCAGGAGTTTTCGATGCATCGAGGTCCATCCCACAGCTGATCAGTCTTTTGTGCATCATGCTGTTGGAAAGAAAAGGCTGTGAACACCGCTCTCGTGTACTGTAGCTCTCGCCCCCTCAGCCAGAGCCAGGGTCATGACCTTCGCGTAATGAGAAGCCAGTGGCTGGCCTGGGTTTCAGGCAGAGTCCGAGCCGGTGTAAGAAAAAGCAGGCCTTGTTAAGGGGTTGATGGGAAGGGCACCCCCATGCTGAATTGTTGTGCACGGACCTGTGTGGAATATACTGACTTCTCCATACAGATGGGGTTGCCAGATGGTTTCTGAAAAAATACCGAACCAAAAAAAAAAAAAAAAGAAAAAAGGACCCCGAGAGTTGTTAAGCAAAAATAAATAAATAAATACATTTTTTTAAAACAGCATGGCCCCTTGAAGAAACACTTTTGAGGCTTTTTGGCCTTAACAGGCAGCCGGCGGCCACCCACTGTCTTGCCTCCCTGTGCCAGGCCAGACAGCTCCCCTGTGGAACCCGGTAAGCACCCGGGATTTTCGCCTCCTGGCCAGGAAAAAATCAGAAAGTACCAGACATTTTAGGTGTCCAGTATATTCTGAATTTTTTTTATTAGGTAGGAGGTGAAAATACCAGACTGTCCGGTTCAATACCGGATACCTGGCAACCCTACATACAAAGGGGTTGCATTGGTTTAACTGAAATGACTTAAAAATCCAATTTAGTTGAACCAGAGCAAAATCCTGTGTGGACGCACTTCTATTGCAGTAGTTGATGCCTGCATATTTACAGAGGCAAACTAAGGCCCTGTCTGTCTATACTAAAAGGAAGATCGCTGCTACCGCGATCGATCTTCCAGAGTTTGATTTAGCAAGTCTAGTTAAGACTCGCTAAATCAAACTCAGAGGGCACCCCCGCTGGTAGCTGGTAGTTCTCCTGTGGGGATGCCGCCAAGTCTGGCTGAAGGTAATCTGACTCCAGCTATGTAGAATACATAGTATTCTACATAGCTGGAGTTGCGTATCTTAAGACGAGCGGCTGGGTCTAGTGTAGACCTGTCCTAAATTACTATACAGCTGCTTTAAATCCATCCACTCTGAGCTGATTTAATTAAGCTGGTGTACGGTTATACCTTTTGTGTAAGGCATTAGACTGGGATTCAGCTGAGCTGGCTTCACTTCCTGTCTGTGTCATGGACTTCCTGTGTGAACCAGGACAAGCCCAGGGGGCCAGACGTTCAAATGGTGAGCTCCTTATTTGCAAATTCACCACTGTCAAGGCAGGATTGAATAAGGATCTTAACTGGTTAACACACTACAAAAGCAACTTCCCCTCTCTTGATAGTCACATTTTCATAGGAGCTGCTGTGAATGAGCCACTTCCAGGCTGACTTGATTGGTCTCATTTACACAAGTATCTTCTTTCTTTTGTTGTTCTTATGTATATACACCCCCGTCTCACTAAACTCCACTCCAATTCACCTGAAGAAGTGGGTCTTACTTGCAAAAGTTTATGCTCTAATTAATCTGTTAGCGTATGTCTACACTTGCAACCTCTTTCGAGAGAGGGATGCAAGTGAAGACATTCAAAATTGCAAATGAAGCCGGGATTTAAATATCCCATGCTTCATTTGCATATTCATGTTATGGCGCTGTTTCGAAATAACACTATTTTGAAATAATAGACGCTGTTAAGATGCAGTTATTTAGAGAGAAAACCCTTCTCTTGAAATAACTGGTAAACCTCATTGTATGAGGAATAAGGGTTATTTCGAGAGAAGGGTTTTCTCTCGAAATAACCACGTCTTAACAGTGTATGTTATTTCGAAATAGCGCCATAATGCGGATATGCAAATGAAGCAGAGGATATTTAAATCCCAGCTTCATTTACCATTTTGAATGTCTTCATTTGCATCCCTCTCTCGAAAGAGGGTTCAAGTGTAGACATACCCATAGTCTCTATATAGTGCCACAGGACGCCTGGTTGTTTTTGCAGACACAGACTAACACAGCGACCCCTCTGAGATTGGAAAAAAAAAAGGGGTCACTCATTTGGGTGCTGAGACCTTTTGAAGCATTAGCAGACTGGGCTCTCCTACGCCTCTAAAGAGAAGTGAGAGGCCCCTATCACAGACCTTAATACAGGTTGGACCTCCCTGGTCCGGCACCCTCAGTACCTAACTGGTCCCAGATGAGGGATTTTGCCGGACTAGGGA